CACACACACACACACACACACACACACACACACACACACACCCACACCCACACACACACACCGCATTGTGAGTGCACACAATCACACACCCATCCATAAGCACACCACCTTCACGCTCCCATGTGGGCGTGACGCACGGACGCATGCACACATCGCCATCGCATCGCCCCGCCCAGAAGCTCACCTGGCCTGGCTCGGGGCCCGGTAGAACGCCACCGCCCCCGCCCCCATTGCGCCGCACAGCGCCGCCGACTCCCACGCAAACCACTCGGACGCGACGCCGAGGCTGACTGCGGCAAACCCGACGGGCAGCAGGTACGCACAATGGCGCAGCGCTGCGGCGGCGGTGCGGCGGCCGGTGGGGTCGAACATTGAGAGCATCTTGAAGCCGCCGCGCGCGTAGTCCTCGCGGCAGAGCCACGCCAGAGACAGGAAGTGGGGCATCTGCGGAGGTTTCAAGGTTGGTTTTGCACGCGTGGAGTGCGTGCGGGGGTGCCGATACATGTGTATTTGTGGGTGTGCATGTGAGTGTGTGTCAGTGTGCTGGTGTGCGTGCATGTGTCATTGTGTGCGTGTGTGCTCTCAAGAACCTGGGCGCCTCAGCCTTGGCGGTGCACACATCTGTGAAGGCGACCAGGCCCTGGCTTACCCTGCTCACAAGCAGATCTTGTTGGTCTCATAAAGCAGGACAAGGCCCCTACCACAACCTCAAGCCCACCTGCCAGAAGAAGAGCGCCGCCGCCAGCACGCCCGCGGCCGGCTCCAGCTGCCCCGCAGCTGCCGCCCAGCCCATCAGCGGCGGGATGGCGCCCACCACTGCGCCCACCCAGGTGTTGGCCACGCTGATCTGCTTCAGGGGGGTGTACACCCCCGCGTACAGGAAGATGTTGGCTGCGCCCAGGGCGGCCGTCAAGGGGTTGGCCTGCAGGGTGTGTGAATGTTGCGAGCGTGTGTGTGACAGTGTGTGCGCCTGCGTGTGCATGTGTGCGCACATGCGTGTATGTGCGTGTGTCCATTGGGATGCAAAACCTGCAATGGGCCGACAGCGCTGCGGAGGCGCTAGCCGGCTGACGGCGCCACAAGCCACTGCTTCGCGATGGGATGGGATGAGCTGCTGCTGCAGCTGCCCCCCCTTGCATAACTGGCTGTCTGTATGTGCAGAGGCAGCCCCAGGATCCACGTGGTGCCGCCCCGCTGCCCACCCCTGGACCCACCTTATCATACAGGACCCACAGCCCCGCCGCGCCCGCCGCCGCCGCAAACGCCAGCGCGTGCGGCCGCCCCATCCGCCCCGCCGGCAGCGGCCGCCCGCGCGTGCGCGTCATCAGCGCATCGTTGGCGCGCTCGTACGCCTGGTTGAGCGCGTTGGCGCACGCGGCGGCGCCAAACGTGCCCAGGGACGTCCACCCAAGCCGCGACCAATCCAAGGGCCCGTCCTCGCTGCCGGCCGCGAAGCCGGCGGCCGCCGTCAGCACCACGAGCCCGCTGAGCTTCGCCTTGCTCAGCTGCTTGTAGTCACGCAGCAGAGCGCGCGCGCGGCGCGCGAGGGACTTCGGGCCGCGGCCCGCCGCGTGCGCAGCCTCGGCTGCTGCTGCCGCTGCTGCTGCTGCGGTTGCGCTGCTGGCTGCGGCGGTCGACGCGGTTGCCAGGCCGCGCCGGCAAGCGCCAGCGCCGGCGCCGAGGCCACTGCTGCTGCTGCTAAATCCCATCCATGTGATGCGATGCCAGGCGTTGGATCGTGCCGCGCCATGGCACAGGCCGGCTGCAGGGCGGTGCCAACCGGACGCGACGGCGCTGGGGCCTGCCGCGAAGGCGTTTCCCGCTGGCTCGCAGAGGCGCTTTGTCAGCCGCCCTAAACGCAATAGTGACTTTAAAATTCTTTCTCTCTGCGCCATGCTGGTCACGCCCCGCAGCCTGAAAGCCCTGACAGCAGGGCCGCGTCTCTAGCACAAAACAGAAGCTTGCGAGGCCACGTGCCGCAGGATTGAATTGTTTTCTCTCTACTTTGACCTCGACAAGAACAAACACCTTACTCGTAAAACAATCAGATCAAGATCTCTTGACTCATAAGTTATCTACGGTGATACTGTACTATATGCATGCGGCAGCAGTTGTTTCAATTTTCGAACCTTTCAAGTGTTGATATGATACAAGAAGAACCAACCAGTCACGACTGCAATACTGTACCGGAACACTCACCAGACCTATACAGAGTCTGTCCTACTCGACTTGTAGATGCAGCTGGGTTAGCCAGGCATCGCATGCTGCGCTCAGTAGCCCCTTGCAGCTGGCAGCAGGCCCGCACTGTCACCGCCGGAGCAGCCCTTCAACCGGGCTAGAGCTGCGCGGGGCCCCTTTACCCCACCCCAGGAGCACGGCAGCTCATTTAGCACGAGCGCCGGCAAGGGCGCCAGCGCAAACGGCGTCTTTGGGCGTGAGCATCAGCAATCTGAGGCGCGAGTGCGGCCACGGCCCCGACAGGATTGTCCTAACCGGCCCCCGCAGCCGTGGCAAGTTGCCAGTTATCCAGCACCTCGCCGACGCGCCCCGGCAGGACACCCGTGTGTGCGCCACCGACTGCAGAGCGCGGCGCGTGTTGACCCCGCTGACCTGGCGGCCCTGCTCGCCAACACGAGCTTGGGTGTGCCTGGATCCGGCGCCGCGGGGCCAGCGCGCCGCCCGAGCCCGCCGCCCCGCTCCCCATCGGCTTCGCTACTGAAGCCCGCGCGTTTCAAGGGAAGCGGGACGCCTCATGGGCACCGGCGGGGTCGAGGGCCGGAATGCCCACAGCCGGGGCGCGCCGCATCTTTTGGGGGTGCTGCAATCTTTGACAAGCTGTGTTTTTGGGGCGCAGCGTGCGCTGGCCAGCGCACGAATCATCGCCTGGACAGTGCGGCAGGCCTGCAATGATGGGACGACGGACCGCCCTTGCCGAGGCGCCCATCTCACGCCTCGTGGCAAGGTGCTCACGCCCGGCCCCCCTCCCTAACCCCTGCTGTGAGACATCCCGACGGCCCGGCGGGCCTCACTGTGCGCGCTGCCGCCCGCAGGCGCTGCCGCTCAAAGGCCCCCGCCAGAAGCAGCGCGCAAACAGGTGTGCTGATGCGGTACACTGGAGCTAGAGCTGCCGCTCGCGTGGCTGTCAGAACACATTTCAAGCGGCATTGGTCTGCCAGGTCGGGCGTGGCGCTAACCCTGGCGGACAGCTCTCCAGGTGTTTGGGGGGGGGGGGGGCAGGGCTTTGCTGCAGTGTGCGTGTCGGTGTGCAAGGTTTCCTTGTGTGCAGCAGCGTGGCTGGCTCCAAGTGCCTAGGGAAAATGCAACCAGGCGCATGAGCGCCAGCGCACCGCTCTGATGGCGCGTCGAGGCGGCTTGCGCTTCTGTTTGCCGTCTGGGGCGCCATGGAATGGCGGAGACACAGCACGCCCGCCATCAAGACTCGCCCTGCGCGGAGCGACGCCGCAGGGGCTGGCTGCCACCACTTAAAACTGCCAGCGGGCTGCGTTTGGGGGGCGGGCGGCGCGGGCCGCCTTGGTGACACTGCGGTTTAAAAACGGCCAGGTCAGCGCGGCCCCTCATCCCTCGTTGTTGTTGTTCTGCAGGGCTGACCTGCACCGGAGGCTGCTTTCTTGCGGGCTCAACGCCCTCCAGCCAGTGTTGCCGTAATGGATAACAGGAGGGCGAGCACGCACACGCGTAAAACGAGACTCAGCACTGCTGCATTGTCGCAAGCAAGTCAACCCCAGGAGATTGGATAGAGGACGTCGGGGTTTGGTGCTTTTTAACTGAAAGCCCCATGCGCACGTGCATGTGTGCACTGTGCCCCTGCCGCCGTGTGCTGCGTGTAACAAAAGTGTGCACGGCAAGGCCGCGGCAAGCGGCGCTCGACTAAGGAATGTGGACAACACAGACCGTTGCGGGACACTTGACGAGACGGGATGATTCCAAAGCAGTGATGACAGGATACGAATAAGCCACTCATGCCGACAGTGACTCAGCCTCCGCCGCCTGGCCGCCAGCCCCAGCCCCCCGCTGCGCCCCGCCGACCGTGCCGCCCCCGCTCCCGCGCCCGCCCGCCCTGCTAACGCGCGCGCCGTCGCCCTCGGCCGCCGCGACCGCCTCGGCGAGCGTCCCAAGGAGCGACGGGTCTGCGCCCGCGCCCGCGCCCTTGCCGGCGCCGGCCCGCATCTTGGCGGGCGTGGCGCCGATGCTGTGGTCCGGCAGGACGCTGTAGGACCCGTCGGGAAGCTGCCGGATGGGGTACATCCGTTTGAACCGCGCCAGCTGCGTGCGGGACATGCGGGCCAGGAACGCGGAGGTGACGCCGTCCGGCGCGTTCTGCGCCGACAGCTGGCGCAGCACAACGTGCCACAGGGCGTCAGACCCGAGGCCGTAGCGGCCCGGCGCGCCGCCGCCGCCGCCGCCGTGGTGGTGGTGCTGCTGCTGCTGCTGCTGCTGCCGCTGCGTCGGCGCCGCGTGGGCGACGGCCGGCGCGAGCG